TAAATATTTTACACTGTCCTGCAAGAATTTACATTTGTCAAACTTCACAGTAAGCCCCATGTCGCTTAACCGTTCGAGTACAGCTCTTACATTTCTTATATGTTCCCTTTGATTGGATCCTGTTACACATATGTCATCTAAAAATACAACGCACCCCTCCACCCCGCGCAATGTCTCCTCCATTAATTTTTGAAATTTCTCAGGTATACAAGATAGGCCGTACGGGGTCCGTCGATACGCAAACGTCCCCATATGCGTGGTGATGGCGGTGCAGGGCTGCGAGTCCTCGGAAAGGAGACACTGCTCATAAGCGTGCCTTAAATCAATTTTTGTAAATTTTTCCCCTCCTCTTAAACTCGCAAACAATTCCTCTATACGAGGCAACGGATAAAAATCTCTTTTTAATTTGGGGTTAATTGTAGTTTTATAATCCCCACAAATTCTGATATCCCCATTACTTTTAACAACCGGAACAATCGGAGTACCGTAGTCCGAATATTCGACGCGATAGATGGCGCCGTCCGCCTCGAGCCGCGCGAGCTCCCGCTCGAGCCGCGCCCGCAGCGCTAGCGGCAGTGGCCGCGCGCGCACATAAACCGGTTCCTTATCAATGAGCTGCAATCGAATGGTTCGCTTGCATGTGCCTAGCTTATCACTAAATACTTCCGGAAAATCTTTACACAACTGATTCACAAAATTGTCGTCTCGGATTGCATTGAGTGTTATTTGTTTCAAATTTAAAGCCTGCATCCAATCCCGACCTAACAACGGCCGCGCGCCGCCTTTTATTATATACAAATGCAATGAGTCACAATGCTTATTCCCTAATTTAACATTCACCTCGATGTAACCGAGAGACTCAATCCGTGAACCGGAGTACGAACGTAAATTAATATTATCTTTATTAATTTTTTTATGCGAAAACATATTCCGATAACATTCCTCTGCGATCGCTGAGATACGACTACCGGTGTCTATTTCACATTTCAAAATTTTGTTATCTATCAGCAAATCAATAAAGTATGGTTTGGTACCTTTAGCTGCTACCTCGTACAAACCCTCGTCCTCGTCGAT